CATAACCAGGGGGGCGACCTCTGGGGGGGGGGGGAGCGACTGCTTCTGTTTACGGTACTTGCTGAGTGACGAATCATCAATCATGACGAATAGCGCTTACGCAAAAAACAATGGAAATCGACTTCTGTATAGTTTTCTGTGTCATAACGTTTCATGGTTGTGATTGGCCTGAAAACAGACCTACGTTTCGGCTACCCTAAAATTTGCGGGTCGACGGATCCGTAGACTTGCTCCAAGTCTTTCTTTCATTGTCATATCGATCCACTATGGTGTACATTACATGACGTAGCACTGAGAGGCGGAGCGGGAAAGAGAGACTTGTCAACTTCGGAAAATCTCGGTTCAAAACTGAACCGAAAATGCAAGACTTGCTTTAATTGTTTTCTGTCAGTGTTTATATGTATTGATCTAGTACAGTGTAAATAACATGAGTTCCATTATAGTCTCTCTCCTTCGCGCTCCGCCCCTTCGTAGTACGTCATGTAATGTACACTATAGTGGATTGATACTATATGACAATGAAAGAGAGACTTGGAGCAAGTCTAACGGCTCCGTCAACCTGCGAATTTTAGGGCGGGCGGAACGTAGGTCTGTTTTCACGCTAGCTTTTGATGGCATGCAACATGTACGCACTGCGTACCTATTTTTGTATCTGCGAAGCAGATATATATGCCATCGCAAACGTACCGTACCGTATGTTAACAAATAGCCATTCAGCGACGAGCTTATATAATTTAAGCCAATTTAAGCCAATCAGCGATTCGTTTACATCAATTGTTTACATCGTGCCCGCATCTAACCTGCGAACGGGCATACTTTAGCCTCGTCAGGCCTTGTGTATAACTATAAGTAATAGCATGGTTTCGAGTGCAATTTGGATATAACATGCACGAGTGAGTTTTTCAAAGACCTCGAAATAGTACGAGTCCGAAGGACGAGTGCTATTTGAGGTCTTTGAAAAACTCACGAGTGCATGTTTATCCAAATTTCACGAGAAACCATGCTATTACTTATTAATAATTTACATAAAAATGTTCGAGACAATTGTAGTTTTAACTTACGCGTTTATAGCGAACATTCCACCGGCAAACTTTTCCTGGCTTTGTTATATCACATTATGCAACGCTAACAGCTTAAAAATTCCACTCAACTACGTAATTTTTGTTAGTCTTGTTTAAGGTCAATGCTTTTCCATTTAAAAATAAAGATAAAAGCCATATTTTTCACGCGAAAGCAACTTTTACTTCACTGTAGCGCGACGCCATGTTTGTTTTTTTTTGTTTTGTTTTGAAGCAATCTGTGACCGTTACTTCATTAAACTAAATTGCTTTAAACTGATTGGTTGATTTAATTATCACAATGTTTTTCCACCAATCAGATCAGTTTGTTACAGATTTTTGCACTGTGATTACAGAAAATTGCACTGTGATTACAAAAAATTGCACTGTGATTACTGAAAATTGCACTGTGATTACAGAAAATTGCACTGTGATTACAGAAAATTACGCTGCTGTTTGGGATTAACGGCACTGAAATCAACCAATCACAGTCGAGTAATATCTTTATGTATATTATTAATCGTGTTATTGTTTCAAAAATATCTTGATATTTTTATCAATTTATCTTGAATTGGCTATCTTTTTTTTATTCCGAAGTTATTTATCAACATGGAATCTTATCCTCATCTGGTAAGTAGTCAAATACCACATATTATATATTTAAATACCAAATTTGTGCAAATATATGTCCCACATATTTTATAATACATGAGTTCGCCAGTTCGGCAAATATTTACTATACTATCTATAGTTAATATTGCCGTATCTTCGGCGTAGAGTTTACATGGAATACACTCTGGAATTTTTTTATTAACATATTACACTGTATAAAATATTGGATATTTTCGAGGATATTTTAAGCCATTTATCAACATAGTTCACAAAAAGATTTATACAGTATTAAAAACAATCCTTCTGTGACTTTTGTAATATTTTAAACAGTGAAAACATTCTCAGGAGATATTGAATTAAATCCTGGTCCTGTATTTCTGTATATTGACTCCATAACTCTGTTCAAAACAACAGTCCAACTATAAAGCTGTCATCAAATGTAGTGTTAGAGCAAAGGTTGAAGATGTTATCAGTTAAAATACTTATACATTTTGGTTTTACACATTAGAGTTAATTAAACAAAATTTTACAAACTTTTTCAAATAAAAGAATCCTCACCCTCCCGAACCTCATTACATTGTCATTTTGCTTTCTAACATAAATATTTTTCTTTAGAGATTAATACAAGAATGAAGAATAAATGTACTGCATATTGGCTGGATAATTTTGTCAGAACAACAAACTTGCAAGACAATCTTACCTTAATTCATTAGTATGGAAACTAATTTAACAGCTACAATGAGTAATCATATATTATATGGTGGATTTGTTCAATGGCACTCAATGTACAAAACTAAACTTGTGATACCTTCTACTCAAACCGATAATCTCCCACAACACGACTGTTTTTGTGTGAATGTGCTGTACGTGTTAAACAGAACAGTGTGGTATATCATTAACTGTGCACAGAACTGGAATTTAATTATATACTTCACTCATGACCTTCAAAACATTCTCAATTATTCAGTGG